TAATGTAAAGTTGGATTTTAAAATAAAAAATTAATAATCATCACAAAAGGCAAAATGTATTATACAATCTTTTTTCTAACATATCATATCATTGAGTTAATTATAAATATAACTTTAGGGTGAAGGTAGTATATTAACTTCAAAACAAAGGATGGTAAATTTATAAATTTTATAAGGTATACACTTGAAACTGAGATACAATTTTCTATCATACCTCATCAGACCCGATACACACACATACACACTTATATATTATATATATCCTAGTATAATAGCCTAAGCAAGCACATTAATTAGTCAATCCCATAAAACTGATAGAGCTGTACATGAAACCAAAATCTTGGAAACATTTTGGGATACAAAATATTGGTAGCGAATTTAAGTCTCCTAAAAAGTGGCCCATCAAGGAAAATAAAATAAAAAGATAAACTACCACAAAACACCTAAAATGTTTACAGTAATTAACACTTCTTGTCCTTATGAACTATTTTTAGATGTTTGACAATGGATAAATTCATCGTGATACCTTTTTGATCAAGTACACGATCAGTACCATTCCCTTATTTCTTCTTTGCAAGAAATGTTTTTGGCTTGGCAGTCGACATGTTGCAGAATTGTGTGGTAGGAATATCATCCAAGTTAGGTGACTCTTTGTAATGGTCACTTTTAGTTTGCAAAGAGATGATAGAGGAACACGGAGTAGATAATAAACTATCATTGTCTGAATCAATGGATTTGTTAACTTATGACATCAAATATATATACCCAATAGTGAATAACCATACTTAGAAACATGAGGTTGAGGGGAAAACATATTGCAGTTCATTACTGATGGTGTGTCAAGCAAATGAACATGAATGGTATCGTCTTCAATATATTCAATAATAGTGCAACTAGACAATTGACCACTGATAATACAATCATCAACTTTGAGTTTCACGATTAGTTTTTTCCCTAAAACTATGTCTACTTCTTTAGGGAATGCGTGTGTGACAAGTTCCTTATCCTTAAAGTAAATATATATCAATTTAGAATGAGTGTAGAAGCTTAGAACAAGCATCGGTTATTAAGTATATAGAGAAAAATGAAAGCAAAATGAAAGATGCCATTAAATAAAATAGCAATAACAATAATAATAAAATAAATAAATAAAAATTAAGGCTAGATTTCATAAAGAAGTCTTTCTTACCCATCCCATATTATCTATCAGCTCATCCACAGAGGCACCTAAAAGTTTTGCAGCAAGGTTGTCAAAGAAGACAATAGAGGTTGTACCTGATTCATCAGTAATTTGGTAATGAATCCTCAATTTGAATAAAAATCAATATCAAAAATTGTTTTTCACATGTGGATAGTTGAATCAGAAAAGTGTTACCTTTGAGTGGTATTCTCAATAGTTTGCTTACATTTCTTGTAGAATAAACCCGATGCATTTTCTTATGGTTTAGTCATGTAAGAAGCACACCCATCATACAACTAACCAAACTTGGTTTTGAATTTTTCAAGTACATCGATAGTAATGTAGTAAGAAGGCTATACATGCACCATATGAAAAAACGTTGGTGCCAAGAAACAAAAAATAAAATGTAATAGAGAAAGAGGTACTACTTTACTAAAAAAAATTCATATAAATGTCTCTAACTATTTATAGTATTACTAGATAAATAAAGTAAAATTATTGCAGTAATGCTGAGCAAATTAGAGATTGAGATGAGTTTTTGATCTCTAAGAGCTTCTCTAGTTACAGAACGTGAGGACTCCATTGTTATCGATTTTGTAAAGCTTAACGAAGATGCAAAAGGAGTGGTATCAATCCTAGCACCAACAAAAAGAAAAAAATAGTAGCTTGTACAGAATCAAATTGTAACAGAAGTTATTACGGTTAAGCCTCAAAGAAAAATTAAAAATAGGTTATATGTATGAGATATACCTCTGAATCAATTCCTTTACATCTGGGATATTAGGGTTAAAAAGTAATCTTGTTGCCATTAGAGAGTTGGTGATATCAAGTTTCCCTGATTCACAATAAGACTAATGATGGAATTATTTAAAAAGAAAAAAAGAAAAAAAATTAGTATGAACATAATTTATTGTGGAATGCTATCTAATTACCAGAGGTATAGGCCGAAGTCAGATTATATTTATACAAGTAATGATAAAGATGACATACCAATTTGATTTTCCTTTAGACATGTGTATTTTTACAATTACTACGATGAGTAGATTACTTTGTTAAGAGTATAAAGCATATGCATTAACAGCACACTCCCCCCCATAATACATATCAAATAGGAACGTCCCTATAGAGTAACCATATAAGTCATTAGTAAAAGGTCCAAAAATAAGATAGGAGAAAACTTTACTCAACCAAGACAAATTAAAGAAACATACCTAGGATTGACAATCATAAAAGTAAACTTTCTATATTTACATAGAGGAGACGACACATCTTCAAGCTGCCTTATAATCCTTAAAAAGCCTCTAACATCTATATAAATGAAAATAATCATTGCCAATAGACGTAACCACTCAAAATTCTTCAAATAGATTAGCCTTATTACCATACTTATCAGATAGTTGGGGACTTTATCCAACTATAAGATATTTGAAATCTCAAGAAACTTATGTAAGTTTTCCACTTTGAAAGGTTCACATGGTAACACATATGTGTGAGAGTTGAAGTTGATACAGCATTCATAGGTAGTCGCAAGGTAGCACAAATTGTTACTTATGATTGTAAAATTCTAAATAGCATAGTAATGATCGTTGTGTAGATCCTAATCAAACTTGTCCATGAGGACTTTTCCATAAATATTTGCTGAAATTCTATCTCCTTGATCAATGAAAATAGGGAGATATTAGAGGGCACCAGAAAAAAATGATGGAATACTTAGTGGATACTCATCACACAAGTAAATGATATCCAAACCAAATTGAAAATACTAACATTCGAGTCCCCAGGCAACATGCTGAGGCCGTAGGCATTTTGAGGAAGAGAGGACTTTGTCAGCTTCATTTATAGAGTAATTGCATAAGGATTCTTGACGTTTCTTTCCTCAGATTAATACACTGAACCAAAATCATATTGTTGTTTCTCATATTTGCTTTGTTTATTGATAGAGGGAAAGATAAACAGTTTGAGCATATATCAAGGGAAAAAATGAGAAATGGTGGACGACACAGAAGAAAATCCATATTGCATACTGATTTCTAGACGAGAAGGCATTCATTAATATAGAAATACTATCCAATAAGAACAAATATAGGAGAAAAATACAAAAAGGAAATTTAACCTTTTCAAAATTGCTAGAGACCAAATTGAACTTGATTTGTCGAGGAATGCATAATGTGATAAAATTTGCTATAACACAAGGTTAGCTGTGGCAGAACTGTGGCCATATTTATAAACGACATCCACAAAGGATGCTGTTTGAATTGTGAATTTAGGCAAGAAAATTTAAGAGTTCTCCACAGGGTATCATAACAATGAACTAAATATAGATTATCATTTTATGGTCACTATACAAATGGATCTTATTGATTTTTAGCAACAGTCGTTTGGCTCATTACTCAACACTTATTTTTTCTTGACTACAACTCTAATAAATAGTTAACCTTCAAAATGTACAAGGAAGCATTAAAAAAATAATCATATTTAAAATTAAACTTATAAATATAAATGTTAACCTTTTATAAATTTAAATAAAATTACATCTTGAATTATACCTTTAAAATGTAGATTGTAGTTTTAGTTTTAACGATACAACACCAATAATAGATAAGTCTTTTCAAATTTAAACAAAATAAAATTTTTAATTATGCTTCTAAAATTTAGATTGCATATTCAGTATTTATGATATTATAATGATAATAGATAATTTTATTTTATGAGATAAGTTTGATAACGTTTTCAAATTGAATAGAATTACATTAGTATATATATTTATTTATGTTGTCTTAAAATTAACTATAATTTTGCTTTGTTATAAATTATCATTTTTTTGTTAGGTAGGAATTATGAGTTTAAAGAAAACATATTGTTCATGTCATTAATATTCACATATTTATAAATTAATTTTGTTTTTTCAGAAAATTTCTTTAGTTTTTCCTCCTCTATTCTCACTAATAATAATTTAATTGTGTGGATTAGTGATTTCAAGCAATGTCCAGACAAATGAAACAAAACAAAAGTTGGAGAATTGAATGGAACATTGGAAAGTGTCAACAAATTGAGTAATTCTCTCTCTCTCTCTCTCTCTCTCTCTCTCTCTCTCTGTTTTTTTTTTATTGGTAAGAAGGGTAAGTGTTAATTGAATACACATGAGTGTAAGTGAAGTGAATAGTTATTTATGATAAACAGAGTAGGTACTAATTGCTAGTAATTAAAAGACATTATAGTTTCGACGAGGTAAATAAAACCTCTAAGGTCACAACCATAGTGAAAAACAAAAGTAATTCATGATACACTGCAATCCATTCCTTTCTATTTGTAACTATATTAATTATATTATGGTAATGCCATTATATCTAGAGTACGACAAGTCAACTCAAATTATCTAGATATAATATGCTTTACTATACATGGAGAGGAGGGGGAAGAAAAAATGTTATTATTCATGTATCTAGAACATAGGGAAACAAAAAAAAACAAATAAAAGAAAACATTACTCAATGTTCAAAACATTCTAATTGCTAAATGACTAAACACTTCCCTAATTAAGACTGTCGAACACTTCTTTATATACCACATTGTGTGTTTGATTTAACGATTGATTCTTTGAATCATAAACCAAAATCTTCAAGCTTGTGATATGTTTTACTTGAGACAGTGTTCTATATAACTATCTATAGGTAAAATCATGGCTAGGTAAATAAATGCCAACTGTTTCTAATGATTGTCCTTGTCTCTTATTAATTGTCATAGCAAAACAATGCATCAAGGGGAATTGTCATCATTGTAACTTAAACGGTAATTTTGACTTGAAAGGGTTTAAATCCATTCAATGGATTACAACCATGTCATCCTTATTGGATGTACTTAATGCCTTAGCTTGAATTGCATACATACCAAGATGACAAATAACTAATCTTGTGCCGTTACATAAGCCTGCTGACTGGTCAATATTATGAAGCAACATGACAGGCATTCCAACCTTTAAAACCAATCGATGGGGTGGCAAACTAGATGAATTGATAGAGTTTAGGAACTCCGGTAGATATAATTGCTCAAAAGAATCATTGCCTTGAGAAACCAATGAAATAGAATCAGCACTAAGGTAAACATGTTCTTCCCTTGGGAAAAGTGAACAAACATAACCATTTAGTTTCCACATAACCTCATTTATTGTTGATAATATCACTCTTTCAGTAAAATATGATGGATCATTAAATCTTTTTTCCAAATTAGGATACACCTCATGAACAATGCTAGCAATGGGATTATCTAACATTGGGTCAATTATAGAAGGTGGTAGATCAACTAAGACACAACCATCATTCAATTCCCCAACATTGCCATCTCCAACATCTAAAATCCACTTAGAAAACCAATCAATTGCATTGCAATCTTCATTACATCTACTTTGCAATCTCATATTTTTAGTTAAATGAAAAACTCGATAAAATTGCCATAAGTATCATCAATTGATCACACAACTTATGATATCTACTCTAGTACCTTTGGGAGAAACTAGAATAATTTGACAAAAATTCCTGCCAAAGGCAACATACTTTCCACCAAATGAATACATAAATGACTCTTAATCATCAATATGCATCACATCACGTAATGTCCTGTCAACAGCTTCTAAACAACAACATTTAATCATTGGAGCCTCATCTCAAATAATGAATTATGCCTTTCTAATTAACTATGCTGTAGGTGAATCAAGATGGATATTGCAAGTTGAATTTTTTACTATTTCAATTGGGATATGAAAAGCAAAATGTGCTGTTCAACCAAATGGGAGCATTGTTACTGCTATCCCACTCGTTGCAATAGTCAACACACCTTTTCCTTGTGAATAGGCAAATGCACACATTGCTCTTTAAATAAAATTCTTACCAGTAACACCATGTCCATAAACAAAAAAGAAGTTTAACCCCTTCCTATTAATAGATGATAAGATTTCATTAAAGATATATCATTGTTGATTTATTATTAATGAAACCATATTTTTCGCTTGACTAGCACATTTATCTTTGTCTACATTTAACTTTTCTAAGATGTAACAATTATCAAATTGAGATTGAAATTCTAGTTCTTTTGCAGTAGGCATTCTAGGATAATCCATGAGGCTTTGACCATTCCTTTACAACACATATTCTATCTCTTGAAGAGCCATGGATTCCTTCTCTTCAAATGTAACATAATGATTTGTATCAAAATAAATAAATAAATAAATAATACTAATAACACCAAATTAAAAAAGTAGACTCCAAGGACATACGAGTAGATAAAACAAAAAAAAACAAACAAACAAACCACTTGCTAACTAAATTAAAACATGTAAAGAATTTTAACTTACTAATTGAGTCAGAATATGAGTGAGGAATATATAAAATATCATCCACCAATAACTCCTTAATTTGATTCCATGCATAATCTAGATGTGATAGTATTTATGACAGTAACATTCAAGCAAAAAACCATCGCAATGACTTACCAAATGTCCAAAATGTTGCCTCTTTAATTCCGTCAACATATTCCTTATCATCAGATAGAAGACCCATTGCGTAACATATTGATGAAATGTAGGATAGACAATACCATTAACAGTCCGAAGCTGTTCGAAAGATGTTAGCCCCTTAATTTTATTCAGTAAAACATGTAGGAAGAAAAGCTCGCCTGAATTAGGATGGACATGATAAAGTCAACCAATTTTAAAGCCCTTTTTACACTCAGGCCATTCAAGTTTACAACGATCACAGACAAATTTTGTTGAAAATTCACTATAAGTCAATTCTCTTGCATCCTTATTCTGAAGATTACAATCCATCCAAGCTATCATCATGAAATTATTAATTTCTGGTCACTCCAAAACCTCATCCATAACATCTAAGTTAGTATACATAACTATTTGTTCCCCTGAAAGGTGAAACTTCAACCTCTCAACTGTTGGATGTTTATATTGTAAATCAAATGAAAATATTCTCCAACCTACCTTACATGAAGACATATAATGGCAATTATAGAATTCACAAATCTCTTATAAAAAAAAAGAATTCACAAATCTCATCATAAACCCTTTTTGTGCAGACTTGTTCATTGGTAGCATAAAAAACTTGCAATCACATGATCATTTCCTTTACTTACATATTTAAACAAATATTTAATTGACCAAGAATGATTAGTCTTCTCAACATTTATGTGAGCTTGGAACCTTAGCAATGGTAAAGGATTGTAAGGCACTATATATCTATTATCCAACAGAACCCCTTTCTTCTTAATAATTCTCCCATTATTATGTCTCCCATAAGTGGGTAACCCTCTTCGTCGACAACAATATTTTCAACAAACTTTTTTGGGAAATGACACATGCATTTATGACCTTTCATACAAGGTGATTTAGGATTCAATAACCCACAAGGTCCATGCATCATATAATCTCTCACAAGATCATAAAGATATAGATTAGTTACAGGGTTCAAAATTTCAGTAGAAATAACATGATCAACCTCTTTTAGAGTCCTTATTTTGCTATCATGATTAGGAAATAATAATATATGTGCATAGGGTAAACTTTTTTTAGAACTCAATTGTATAGATAACTACAAAAGATAAATCTAAATTAGAAACAAAGAAGGGCCATAAATCAAATTAACATTTATAATGGGAACGATAATGCACAGATTGTTAATGCTAGTTAAAATATTTAATACTTGGAACAATAACAACAGAAAACTAAAGGAACTAAAAAATGAAAAAATAGAACAACATGGAGGGACATAATCCTATCAAACTTCTAAGTTCATTATCATAATGAACAAAATAGACAAAAACAATACCTGTTGACACAACTCCAAATGATTCTTCATCTTGGATACATGATAATAAAGATTGTAATTTCATTTGAAAAACACGACAAATAATATCAAGCCTATCAAATGAATGAATTGCTTCTTTTTCACAAAATATATTAATCTCTAGCAATTATGGGTTACACATAAATGTAATAAAGAGATCTAGATACCTTTTCCATTGACAAATAGCCATAGCATCTTGATAATTTTCAATCAAATAATGTGGTCTACTAACAAAAGAAGATGGCAAGATAATCCTTTTACCTGTAAGGGCAGCATTCATTTCTCTCCTAAGAACTGCATTAGTGAGGTTGTTGTACTTGTCAACACATAATTTACATTGATTATAAAAATGTACTTTAATTGTTCAACCTTAATCATTGTATACCCATCAACCATAAATTGTTGAAACAATTGACGAGACAAAAGCAAAGTTGACTTGGTATTATGTCTACTCATTAACTTGTATGACAAATATTCTCTAATAGTTATAGTTTTAATATTACCATTAGGATTTCACAATCTTACCCTTATGTGTTGCACTGAATCATCATACATAACATATCCAAATGAAAAAAGCAAAGGATATTGTAAAGGTAAATATAATGGATGTAGTTCATTGATGCAAATCAACTCTCCAGATCTTTTCTCAATTATCACATCCCGTTCACCACATGACTTATCGAAGTCTCCGATAATCAATGCTGCTATTTTAGATGCACATGGCATAGCATAAGTATGGTTACTCCCTTGATATTTTCCAATCAATCTTATTCTAACATCAACCCTATCATCGACCTTAACCATATCTGAAGTAAGTCGATAAGTCTTCACCAATTCATTGCATTCATTTAACATGGTTAACAAATTCTGGACAATACAAGGATCAACATTCAAAGGACCATCATGGGTATTGCTTGAACACACCAACACAATGAGGGAAACTATACCATGAAATCAAAAAGACAACAACAACAACAACAACAACAACAATAATAAAAGTTAAAAAAAATTACATAATCAACCTTACATACGTACCTACCAACTCTTCCCATAGTGCACACTCAAAAGACCAACCCAACGAATGGACACCTCAGTGAAATTGTTCACAGAGCAAACCAACCCACATGAGGGGAGAAAAACCATAAACACAATATGGTGATAGAAAATTAGCTTTAGGCATTAAATATCACTTATATATAGAGAATTAATTAATAATTAAACCAACAGAAGAAAAAGAAAATCTGCATGGCAACTCAACAACGTAGTAGACTCTGATCAACAAACTCATCTTCATACAATCTTCTCACAATACTTCTTTCTTTGTGCCAATGCCAATGAATCATCACCTCACCCAATGAATAAATAATAGGAAAATAGCAAACACAACCAAACAAAGGATATAACTATACAAACCATTTATGAGGACAATCAACATTAGTGATTTCCTTGAGTGGAGATTTCCGTGGCAAACCTTTATTAGTCACCACCAAAGCATCACCCATCGTCACTCCATTACCCACAGCATATCCCTCATAACCAGCCTTTAATACTTTGTAATCTGAAAAAGAAAGAAATAACACAAAATTATAAACTAATAAAAACTCACAGTAACAAGTCAGACCAAATCACTCCAATAGATTAGGCACACACCCTCGAATAAATAACCCCACAAGTTAAACTCATTAGAACATATATGAGACATGAAATTAGCATACTTCTTATGAGGCAACTGATTCGTCGAAGAGGACATCGAGGGATAATCCCACCTCTTTCCTTACCTAGATGCACAATTCTCACAACCATCATCTATGAGAAATAAATACAACATCACAGTATAAATCTTCCATCGAACAGAGTATACATGACACTCAACCATGATAGACTTATTATTAGGATAACCATAATCCCCCCACTCAATTCTTTGATCTGAGAATGAGAGGACCCTTGTTAATTTATTTCTATAGCCAAATAGAATAGGGAAGGAAAAGATGAGGGAAACAACATCTATAAAGAAAGTCTAAAAAATAAGGGAGAAATACCATGGACAGTCATCCTTTGCCATCAAATCCACCAACACAAAAATAATGCTGGGACAAATGAAGAGTAACCAAAGAAGGACAAACGAAGATGTTGGGACAAAAACTAACGATGTTCCACATATAAGAAAACCACAATGGGCAAACAATATATTTAAAAATTGTTGAAATCACCTAGTGGTGCAAAATGGCAACACAAAAATCATCAAGAGTTCAAAAATTATTGAAATCCCACCAATTGAGCCACCGACCTTCCCATTTAATCTGTCCCGTTGATGTAAGACCGGCCTCCCCTTTTCCCCTTCCTTTTCTATGTTATAGTAAGTAGATTTAGAATAAAATATAAAATATTAGTTGAGATAAGGAAAAAAACAAACAAGGACCATCAAATATTATAATAATATTAATACTATAATATTCAAATCTCTATCTCCAATATCATAATATTATATTATAATTATAAGAGTATAATATTATTATAATTATAATAGTACAATAGATGGAGAACTGGAACACACAATTAATGAAGACACTAGATGGAGCTCTGACCCCAAAAAAAGAGAGCAACAAATGGAGTACTATTCATTTACTATAGACATGGCCATCCCGCATTAATAAAAGTAATAAATGATTTTTTTATGCTTTAACTATGTTAAAATTTAAAAAATAAGTTGTAAACATTATAACGTAGTAGCAAAATTGAGAGATTAAGTTATAAATTTCTGGAGTTTGACACTTGGACCTAACTTGAATTAACTCTTTGTCATTCTCCCCTATTAAAATGACTATCACAATGGAAAAGGTTTTGCCATGGCATAGAAAATTAAACTAAATAATAAATAAATACTACTATGGTAAATAGAATTAAATTCTTTAAATTGTCATTTTCAAAATTCAGGATTCCAAGCATAAAACAAGTGTGAAATGCCCATATGATTCCATTTAAAAATTGAAACACAATAAACCAAATAGAATAGGAAATTAGAAATAGTTATGCATTTCAAAATTTTATAACCACTAAGCAAACTTTCCAAAATAAATCAAACCTCAAGGTTACAATCATTCAAAGTATACCAAAAGCATAAATAGTTTGAAGGTCATACATTCATATAATTGTCAATAAACAAAAAATCCTAGCATTGGCAATATAACATCATTAAAGTCATATATTATTAACCTTTGAAATTTTATGTCATTTGAGCATATTTTCTTTGGATTTTTAATATATTTTGCCACAATTATACATATTTTGAATATTAAAATTAGAAAAATGTGTATATTGTTTTGAAATTTCAAACCATGACTCTATTTTAGTATTTTGAAGCTAATTTATTGATATTTTAATTTAAGATTTGGTTGGATACAGTTTTGAACCCTTAATGATGACTGTGGAAGGTTTTTTTTAAATGAAAAAATTAAGTGGAAAGATGACTAGTCATGCTAATTGGGAGAAGTGTACAAAACAAAGCAAAGTTGTGATAAAAGTTGCGACTTTGTTCGTGACTTTTGATGCGTCAGCAAAATAAAGCAGCAAAATAAAGAATTTTATTTAGCTGATAAAATTAGGATATTGGAGTATATATGACTCATTCTCAACTTTGGCTAGCATTCTGGACTTCTTGGGAGTATTTATGAGCTTTGGGTGTGCTAAGGCATGAATTTTGGTGTAGATTGAGCTTCAATTTGAATATTGAAAAAGATTTTGGCTTCATATCTTAGTTCTTCTTCTCCATTCTCTTCCTTTCCTTTTATTCAATGTTTGTGCTAATAAATATATTTGTATTTTCTCATGGGTTTGATGAACATTTGAAGTTAAACCCTTAATTTTAGGATTATTTTGAATCATTTGTATTGATTAAATAATCATTTCCCCTTTGTATTTATGATTATGTTGGATTTACTCTATACTTAATGTTTTTAGTTGATTGGACATCAATTAGATTATTGGATTTCCTTGATTGATACTTGACATAGCTAAGATGAGTGTAAGACTTTAGTTAAATTGTGTGAGAGCTTGAAGTTTACAAGTTGAATTGATAGTTTGTTAATGAGGTAGAGTTACATTCATTAGCCTTACCAGTCACATAGGATTTGCAAGGAAAATTGGAGTTCAATTAGTTAATTAAGAGATTAAGGGATTAATTAAACTAAATACCTACTTGAAGACTTAAGAGAACACTTGTAGGCAATTTAGTATACTTAACTAGCATAATTCATTATTAAGAGTAAAATACATTGGGAGTTGATTGAGCAAAATTTTCTAATGACTAAATCCACAAAAGCTTTTCTCAAATATTTTTGAGAGAAATTATCTCATATTAGTCTGTGAGAAATATTTTCTTTTGAATTATTCCAAGAGAAAATTTTTGAAATGGAGCGATAGCAATAGTAAATGGGAGAAGAAATAGTCGTCCATTCAGATCATTTGCAACACTACCAATAACTCAAATAAAAACACATTTGTAACCTGCCAATTGCCATTTATTCTCTAGCTATCAGTTTAAGCATCAGAGTAGTACAAATAGGAGTCCTCATGTCCTTGTAAGCATCACAACTTGAAGCAATAAACCAGAGTATTTTCTTCCATTCAGTTTCTGTGCCAATTTGTTCTCTCAGAACTCAAGAGAATAAAAAACAAATTCCTAAAAATTTTAACTCAATTTTTTTTTGAAGAAATCTCCTTTTTCTCAGTTTTTTTTTTATATTTTCTCTTGGAATAATTGTGACAGAAATGCGCTATTTTATGGTAATGTATAAAATAAAAGAAAATTGAGAGATAGAGACAAATACTTCAAATTACATTAAAATTCTAGAACATCATGTTTCAAAGAAAATGGGAATGAAATATTCTTCTTTATATATGATGATTATTCTCTTGGTTTTTTTTCTTTTTGAATTTCTGATCTTCAAGCTAAGAAGAGGCGGGGTGTCTTGTTGTAGTTAATGGTAGGTCTGTTAAAAGATTAAGTCTCACATTGCCTATATGAGAGAAGCTCTAAGAATATAAGTACCAAAGAGTGAAAATAATACAGAAAATTGGCCAAGGAGAAAAGAGGTCTTGCTTGCATGACAGCAAACTTCTGAGTGATGTAGATGTGTAGTATCGGGCACTATTTTGTGAAAATATTTTTTGTTCAAAAACAAATATATTAATTTAAAAAGAGCTCTCCCATAAAGACTGGTTTTGAATCTAGATCTCTCCTTAAATGTTGGGAATTTAAGCTGGTTTTAAATTTGGATTCTTAAACGTTGGGGATTTTAAACATGCTTACTAGAAAACATTGATCCTTGTTTAAATTTTGACTATTATATTTTAGAGTAAAATATACTAACCATCCTTCTATTATGCTTTAATTGCACAAATCTCTCTTCTATTTTAAAAACTCATAAACCTTTCTTAAAATTTAAATATATGTTACATAAACATCTCTTATGTGTGTTTGTGTATTTGAGATTCTATTTTCATTTCTCCAACCGTCAGTTGATGCTTTTGCAGTGAACGAATGGGCAAGATCACCAGTTTGGCGGCAAAGATGGCACTCAAGTTTATCCGAACCTCTTGTAGAATGACCACAGCCTCTGCCTCCTCGAAAGGCTCGACGTGGTTGAAAAGAACCACGACCACCATGCCTAGTGAAGCAACCTCGAAGGAATGGTGCTGGAGCTTGATAAGCAAGATTAGCAGTAGGGTAAATATGGTTATACTGATTCAGTTGATCAAGTCTGCATTCAAAAGTGAGAAGAGTGGCCTGCAACTGAACCTAGGTAGCTAACTTCTGGTTTGTCAGTAAGTTGACAAACAACAGGATTATATTCATTATCCAGCCCTGCAAGGATTTGAGTTTTAAGTTTTTAAATCCTGCATTACGTCATTTTGAAAGCAATTTACATACTCTACGTACTCACCAATTAGCACTTCAGCGAGACCCTCATCTGCATCCTTGTTCATCACTTTCGTATTGATTTCAAGACCACTACAATATGCAGCAACACTTTTCAATCCGAAGATCTCACCAGCAACAGTAGAAAAAATGCTAAGGAGTCCAGTCAAAGTGGCGAATCATTTATGCAACTATACATCAATTAAGAAAATAGATTGATTTTGCAAAGGATATGATTTCAACTTTGAGAGAAATGCTTCGGTGAACTTATCCATTGTCCAATGTGGTCCATCTGTCAACGCCTAAAGTGACATGATATTTCAGAATATGTCATGAAATAAATAGAATAAAGCCGAAAGCATGGCTTAGAAACAAATATATAGTATGACTACAATTACAAATGCAAGAATGGAAAACAAATAAAAGTTGAAACCAAATTACAATATTTCATGTTTTTGGAATGAATCATGCGATCAAATGAATCACCGAAGGATGCTTTTCCAGGCTTTTTAATGACTGAGTATTCTAACTGGAGCTCGGTAAATTGGAAACTATATATCCTTTTGTTCCGTCAAATGAATCATTTAAGTACATATACAAGGATTAGTTGATGTTTTATTGACTTCGAATTTTTAATGAAAAACAGAAATTTTAATAGTTATCGCAGTTAAAAATTTTTAAATCCAGGTTTTCTCTACTCAGGATTATATTGGGATCCAGGTTTAATTTCCTTGATCCATAGATTTATGACCTAATTGCACAAACTCTTGCAATGAAAATTACTGAAGGGCAATATTCTTTTAACTTTAATAATGGAGTCGACAAAGAAAAGTCTAAGAGAAAACCTGAATATAATCCTGAATATTTTAAAATAATAAACGTTTAAGAGAAAATTAATCTGTGATCAATTTTTTTTTCAAATAATAGAATATCATTTGTTTTAGGAAAATAGAAAAAGGATAAGCATGAAAAAATAGCACTAAAATACAAAACCAAACACAACTCAACACATTGTGCTGCATTCCAACAGTCGGTTCAACCGTTCAAATTAGTTTGGACAAAAGGTAATAATATTTTCAGATTTTCCGAGGATCAGGATATTGGATAAGGAAATGAAAAAGAGCGATAACTATTTTTTTCATTTATTATTTTTATACATATTAAAAAATATATAGTTTCCAATTCGACGGAATGATTCATTTGGAAACTTAGTTTCCAATTTGACTTAAAATTTCTTCTAAGTTAGTAAATTCTATTATCATTTTTATTTTTAAAAATATTTCTCCACATATTTTAATGGGATTTAAATATCATTGAAACTCCTATTTATTATATCATTCCTATGGATAGCATGGAAAATTATACATATCTAGTTGATAGCTTCAAAGTTAGAATATAGTCGGTCATACCCGTTGACGAAACTATATATCAAAGACACCATGTGATAAAAAACGACTTATATTTTATTCCCATCTAACCGTAGTATTCCTCTATATATATATATATGCGTTGTACTGGTATATGATTTGATATCATTGTGCACATTTAGCAAAATAATCATCAAATCAAACAGTTATTCTAATGCATGCATATGTCAGCGCATGTATTATCGTCCACATTTATTGCCTAATTATCCCGTTGTTTTTTTTTTTTTTTTTGGCCAGTAATTATCCCATAGTGGACGAGCACCGAAGCTCCATCTGATCTTCCCATCGCTCATGGACAGAAAGTGATGACGTAGTTAGGTCCACCATTGCAAGTAAAGGTGCCCTTGACATCATCATAAGCGTAACTATAAGCTTCAGGGCACAGATTGCTGAAAAACTGGGAGTAATTGGTGGGTTGGCATTTCTGTGGATTGTTGTAATCTCCAGAGCAACAATACTCAGGCTTGCCATAAGCCACGCAAGCACTCTTGCATGCAATAACGCTTCCATCAGAACCGGCTACTTTCAGGTCATCTGGGCACTGCGAGTTGATGTTCGCCTTGCAGCTTGAAACTTTGCAGGTTCCGGTGCCGCCTTGTGGAGCCATAGACACAGGCAAGTTGAACCCATCCACGTTACTCACGTCATAGAAATCTTGTCCTCCGTTCGCGGCCACCGTAATTTCTACCAACGTTGCCGGCGCGGCTCCTCCGTTGCCATTGCACTCTACTTGACCGGAGCCACAGTTTGAGGTGGCACAGTTAAAGTTCCCGGCTCCACCGGAGCATCTGGTCCGAGCCCAAAATCGACCCGACCACGGTGAAGGGACGTCCAAGGTTTTGGAATCTCCCATTCCCAACTCGAATCCGGTGGTGGACAATGCAGGGCTTGAAGCTCCATTTAAGGTTCCTGGCCACACTGTGAATTGGCAATTGTTCGTAAAAGTAATGGTGGTTGCATTTCCTCCTGCACGAAGAAGCCACGTCTGACATATTAATATATCATACGTCATCTATAATATTGCTTCTCATGGCGCATTATGCATGCTTAATTATGAGTTACAAGCAATATCATGTGAATAACATACGAACTAGAAATGGGATTGGTTCAAAATTTATCATGGCATAATAAAATTAGCTGATGAAAATAAAAGGGGGAAAACTAGAAGGACAGTCTACGGAAACACTAAACCAATTAATGTCATGAATGTGAATTATCATACCATAGAGGAGGCAGGCCAAAGTAATAAGACACAAAACTACTCGGGTATTCATGATGATGTAAGGTGTGTTGTGTATTGGTGTGTTGAATCTGTTCTGTGTTTTGATGAGAGGTGGGTTGAAGTTCGTGTTTATATATATATAGGCCGTGGTGAATGAAATCCAAGGATCCTTCAGTGGAGTTTTCGTTGCCTTGCCCGCCGTGTACGTTTGCGAATGCTGGAAATATAGCTAGTTTCACGCACCGTCAATCACAAAAGTGACCAAAACGTTAAGTTGTCCCCTATTGTCAAGATCAACGCTTGATGGCTGGGTGTGAAATGAGAGATATCTTAGTATATATGGTGGGAACACGTTATATTGTGTATTGGAAACTTGTCCTGCCAATTAACACCATCTAGTCAATTCGTTTGTTTGTTGTGACTATCATTTCATCGAAATGGTTGTCATCGTACGAAAGGTACATGCTTTTCCACTTCTCATTTCAGACGTTAGATAAAGCTGCTAGGCTATTGAGTATTACTACCAACCCCACATAAAGAAATAATAAATTTGTAAGTGTGTAAGAGGAGAAATATATCAAGAATTTAGCCTTTCAATAATCTCTCTTTCTCGAATTTTCCTATCACTGGGTCTGAATTATTAATGCCTAATATAATCCGAGTAATTCTGCCATGTAAACATAGTTAAGCTGGGCGACCAGCGACTCGATCTTCGCTGCCGACGAAAACAATTACCTCAGGTTAGGCGGGGAAGACTGGCCGCCTCATACTATTTCATTTTTCGATCTTGTAATTGACGCATGCGATCATAGAAAATTTTAAATTGACTAGTAATGTTAATTTATAGGGTTAAAAAAGTGGATTTTTATATCTATACTTTCTTTAGCGCTAGGAGCACTAGAACTGGTAAGTGCGGCTTTTTTTTTTTTCCCTAAATCATTTTCTAGAACAGCAACAAAATATAATGGGGGAAGGATTTTTGCTTTTCTGAAAAATGGTTCAAAGAAAAAATGCCTTATTTATTAGTACATGGTGTCCAATGCTCCTCCGAAGAAAATATAAGGGGAAAAACATATTCTAAACGCTTGAAATATGCAAATAACAATAAAATCTTGTAAAATACCATGATTCTTCTCAAATCCCTAGGAACTTTTTAGATGTTAATGATAATTTGTAAAATAATTAAAATACTCTCAATTTAAAATGAAAAATAAGTATTATTGACTTCTTTAATTTAAATAATGATCACTTTTTTTCTAACAATAATAAGAATGAAACAACCAATTTAACTTTACTTATGCAAATAATTGATTTACTAAAGTCTAAAGGTTGTAAATATCCTTAATTACTTTAATTCAAACAATAACTACTTTTTTTTTCTGGTAATGACTAAAATAGAACAAGCAATTACAACTTCTCTCTAAATGAAAGAAGCAATTACAACTTTGTAAAGTAGTCATTGTTTAAATAAAAATAGTCACTAACAATTACTAAAGTATAATTTTGCCTCTATATTTTTCTTTAAGAAGAGTTAGGTACTCTATACTAATAAGTGAGGTATTTTTTTTCTAGATCATTTTTTAGAGGAGTAGAAATCCCCCTCCATTAGTGATTTGTTTACAAAGGGGGACTTTTACTCTTATGAAAAATAGTTAAGAAGGAAAAATGCCACACTTATTAGTATATAGTGCCCAATGCCCTCGAGCGAAAGTATAAAAGTAAAAATATACCTTAATCTTAATTAATAAACGAAATAAAAGCTTCCTGTTGTTCGTGACTCTGTGTCCTTCCCTGCAATACGTCAATAAGGAATTTCCGACGCAATTTCGTGAAGAACGGAGATTGCAGGGTGCGTCGTGGGCTGAGGGAGAGCGAGGAATGGGATAATTCAAATTATATACAAGTCATGTATCTAAATATTTGAAATTTGAAATATAATTTTTGCTCCAATGATACCCCTTAATAGTTACTCTGCTATTGATTCCTGATTTTATAAATAAAAGAGATAAATTGTTCAACTTGATTGAGGATCACTAGTTTAATGAAATCATTTTAATCATTAAATGGGAACATTTTGGGAAAAAAATCGACCAATTTTTTGTTTGCCACCGACTTTTTTCTGCCAGAAAAAAAATTTGGCCAATTCAAAAAACAATATTAATTTGTGACAAATTCAATGAATTTAACTGCTTTAACTATATTTTTATTGTAGTAAAATAAGCAATAATAACCCACATTTAAGACTAGTAGAAAAATACGACTCAGGTAAAAGTTAAAAAGTATTCTTTTTGAATTACAATATAATTATTTGTTAATTAATTTATATTTTTCTTTTAAAAGATAGTTAAAATTTTGATTTTTGAAAAATTGTCACATTTTTCTGATCGTGAATAAATATAACATTTGTCTTATTTAAATGTTTTTATTAATTAATTACTTGATGAGTGGAATATAGTAAAGAGTTTAATTAGAAAAACAATATATAAACCTAATCAATACCCTCTATTTTAGAGCAAATGAGGCTATTGAAAACGGTTTATTGTGGCTTGAGTAAAGTCTAGGAATTTTAAGTTTCTAGCACTTGGCCCGAAAACCTGAGGCACCTACTTAAGAGGCTTGGGAGGCTTTTCTGAAATAATAATTAAATTAGAATTTTTTTATTTTTAATTTATATAGAAATTTCATCTAAATATATTAAAATTTAATGTAAGCCTATAAGAATTTATTGTTTATTTCAAATATAGATTTATATGTTGATAAATGATTGCAAATTTTTTTGGTGGATATCATGGATAATCATTATTTATTTATTTTATCAACCAGGAGAAGATAATTTGATCACTCGATGAATAGAGGAGATAACTTAAAAAACGTAATCTAATAACTTTTTTCATATTTCTTCTGGAGAAATCCTTTTTCAAAATAAAGACCAAATAACCCAGTTGTCAACCTGAACAGTTAATTAAACAAAAAAACAGTTTTTTGAGCTTTTCATTGACACACTTAAATTGAGCCCAGCTTCCCAAATATACATAGGACTAGGTTTAACTCGAGCATCGATGCGCTGAAAAAATTCTGGCACCAGCTGTCAGCCCGTACTTTCAATCCTTCCAGGCCCGGCCCAACGAAAACAAATTGAACAACTAGTGTTTTCCTTCTCTTTGTACATTTCATATTTAAGACTAAAGTTAGTTATTTGAGACAAGCTCAATGAGCCAACTAAACCAACATAAAAAAGAAAAGTTAAAACTCGGCTTAAATATATGGATATTTTAAAAAGCTAGAGCTGCGACATGTGACACAAAATCTCTTCCTTCATATTTTGTCCCTTTTTACATATGACCTAACTTTACTTCGGACCCATATTAAGAGTTAAAATCACAATCAATCGCACAAATTAGACTTCTTTGGTCACACATTACATCATTAAATTTAATTATCCAAATTAAGCTTAGTTTATTGAGTTAAAATTTCTAAGATGTTATAGAAAATGTCACCTCTCTTCTTTTTTTATTATTCAAGTACTTTTTTATAAGATGAAATATTATTTTATTATAATTTATTTAATTAATATTAGTTATTAATATATATATTATTATTTAATAATTAAACAGTAGAGAGGTCTCTACCCTGTTAATTTATAATATTTTTAATAAATTAAATCATAAAGGTGGTGTTTCTTTCATGAAGAAATGCCACCTCTTTATTTTTTTATTATTTAAGTATGTTTTCATTCACTAGTTGCACACCTTTGCAAATCACCTTACGCTTGAAACTTATAAACCCTAATCTCTAGTAGTATACTTTTTGCAATTCTCATCTCCAGTTCCCGCTCTAGAACCCTAGGCTTCATCATTGAAGTAAAGAGTGTAAAAGTGAGTTTCTTCTATCATCACTATCGTCTCAAGTTCCCGATCCCTCCTTCCTCCTTATTTCCATTTCTTCATAGCTAACAATGGCCAATTTGAAGACTAAATTTGTTTCACAAGTGTTGCAGCGAAGGCGTTCATTTCATTTGATCTTCTCTATTCCAAGCTTGAATTGGGTCTCATTTTGGCTTACTCTTATTTGTGTGATTGCAAATCTTTTCAACTCATCAAAAAAGGTTAGTAAATTTTGTTACTCCATCTATATGGTTCACTAAGAATATACATTGTTCATGGTTTTGATTCTTTTTTATAGATACATTGCTCTATGATTTTCTTATCCTAGGCATACTACTATTCACCAAAAGTTCAATTTAGTGGCAAGTTAATTTTATATCTTTACTTTTGCAAAATATATATATATATATATATATATAGTCTTGAATATGTTGTCACTTTGACTTTGATTCAAATTTTTGGTAGATTTAATAAATATGCAAGAGAAATATTTGACACACTCGTGTGAAACAAGAAGGAGAGGTGGGGAATGAGAGAGAAGAGAAAGGAGGAAGAGAGAGAAAAGAGAAGAAGAAAGGGTGAAACTCTTAAAATTTCTTGTTCAATAATACTCAAAATTTGAATATAAATAAGAAACTCTAGGACTATTAATAGAGCCTAGAAATAATAAATTTAAATTTAAATCGAATCATAATCTAAAAGATGACGATAAGATATCTAGTTAGTTTAGATATCTTATTTTATTTGAGATAATACTCAAACATAAAAATAAATAATATATGCTAAATCAAATAATATTAAACCCTAGATACCAAATCAAATATAATAAATCTTAAATAATCTAATAGATATTTAATATCTTTATTCAAACAATACTAATAAAATAATTCTAAATAAAAGTAATTAAATCTCATCTATATTTCATCTTGTACTCTTTCATGGTTTTTTTATGACCTTGTTAAATTTTTTAAAATTTTGTATAATGAAAAATTAATAATTTAGTTATAATAACTTTATAAATAAAATTTATTATATAAATTAGTTGTATATTTATTAAAAAAATTATGTATTTGAATTAATAAATATATAAAAAATTATATATATAATGCTTCCTAATTTTTTTTTAAACAAAGGAGGAGAAGTGGTGTTTCATATGCCACCCCTCCTTTTTTTATTTTTAAAAAAGTAAAAATTAATTTAAG